TCCATAAATTGAAGTTAGAAGATACTGAGAGGTAAGCACATATAATCGGTAAGAGATGTTTGTGTGACGTTTGTGTCCCTTTTCCACCGGTGGAAAAGGGGCACCGGTGGAAAAAGGGCACTGGTGGAATTGGAACCCAGAGTTCCCATTCAGTATATGTGTGCATTGCCAATTAAACAACGAAGGACGTATGGTATACGGATGTATTTGGCCAATGACATTTTAGTATCGAAAATTTTCTCATTGAACTTTTTTTTTAAAGCTTTATTAGAGAGAATTTAAGTTCATTGGATAGTTCATCTCGTTATATAAATCAATAAATATTGACTTCAAAGTCCGTAATTAATTAAAAAATAATGTATTTGATGATAATCATCGCTACAGCCTGGTGATCGGAGGTACGATGTGTGATACAAGTCACGTTTCTCAGATATTCTCTCAAGATATCAGGTCAACCAGGAAATATCCCAAAGACCATCAGCAAGGTTGCAAATACTCATTTCAGCTAAAATAATGTTTTTCGGAATAATAAAACCAAAAGATGGCATGATGACATGTTTTACTTGTAACTAAGAAGAAGAGGTTACACAGTATGCGCTTGAAACATAAAACCTGTACATTTTGCTTTCTATGAGTCACAATCAGCGATTTTCGGATCGCTGAGTGAGTGAGTGAGTGAGTGAGTGAGTGTGAGAAAAATCGCTGATTGTGACTCTCATGAAGTGAAATAAACAGGTTTAATATGTCAAACACATTCTTTGCAACCTCTTCTTGTATCTTACCTATTCAAAATATGATCATAGCATCTAATTATTTCATAATTAAAAAAAACATTGTTTTAGCTGAAATGAGTATTTGCAACCTTGACCATCAGTTGATCTAAAATTTCCACAAAGCCCTATGGATATTTTTTTCAAAATATCAGGTTGGTTAGAAATTATTTTGAAGATCTTAAACCGTTCAAAAATTTAAGTCACGTCTTTCAGATACCTTTTTTAAGGGTATCAGGTTAATTAGGACAACGCCCACGAAATATATGTCATTGATATGTTCAACTTTACATTATACAAATTTTAGAACCACCCTAAAATATTAGACTTTTTAATACATTATTTTGAAAGCAAAATATGGATTCAGGAGCATCAAATTACTTAAAAAGTATGTTGTATGTATGTAAATAATATGTAAGTATGATTTACCCCACTATGCTACTGATTACTTGAGATTTGTCAAATAACGTAAATATTTACATCGTTTGCAACGAATAATTGCACTTTTAACACTTGATAACCGTGAAACCCCTACAACAGCAATCCAACGCAACCACCGCATAAAAAATAGTCGCTTCAAAATATTCGTTGTGAATATTTTACGAGCGACTCAAGCGATTTGTTTTTTGAAGGATAGTTTTGTCGCCGCCAATTGTCGCCTGTTCTGCAGCAAGCGCTGGATTTGAATACGGCAGGACATCGCAGAAGAGGCAGACATGGGGCTCATGGCGGTGGATCCTCGACAAGGAAATATAGCAAGTCGATAGGAATCTGGCCTGGGCCCAGATCAAGGCAAAAGCGAGCAGCCGCCCAGGATGGAAGACTTTCACGTTGGCCCTTTGCACCTCCGGTGGTGTACAGAACCCTTAAGTATGTGTTGCCCGTGTGAACAGGTAGGAAAGAACCCATATTGAATATTTTTGGCCATCAAAAATCGTCGTAAAAATCGCCGTATGTGTTCAGCGCCTAAGTGACGAACCAGCCGGATGGCACTCCCAAATTAACGCGTGAAAAATCAGCGGTCTCTTCACACAAAAAAGTTTCAGTATGCTTTGGTGACTGAGGTGCTGAAAAAGATAACAGTTTAAAACATTATTAATGTGTGACTGCAGGTTTTGTAGGATGTAGAAGATGTCTGAGGTTCGATCATTTTAAACTATTTTTTTTTTACTATAGTCACTTTAACGCTTTTGGGTCATTCGTGACTTATCCGGGGGGAGATTTGAAGTTGTGATTTTTGCGTGAGAGGTATGGATGCTAACCACTACCCCGGAGTCACCCCACTCATTTTAAACTAAGCTACCTAAAAGATTTTTGGACAGTGATTTAGCAGATTCTGTATGCAGCACTGGAAAATATCCTTCAACTGCTCCAATAGCACTACTAGTGACCGGGGCTGTGGCAGCATAATATTACTGATTCTCTTCTCATTGATGTTTTGGTGTTTCGAGCGGATTTACCCACTGCAGCTCGACGCTCGAAATCAACCACGGCTTGACCAGCTTCACTCCAACCGTCTTGCTCCATGTATTCGACATGCAGAGTACCCAGAAGTCCATGGTAAACTCCATTAGCTTGTCAACCAAAATCAACATGACCTTATACATCGCCTTCAATAACGTCGAAATACATAAACGCGTTACCAGGCACTTTTAGCGATCTCTGTCTATTTCCCTTTTATGTAATAACCAGTATGTAAGCATCGATTTAGAGAGTTTATGAATAAACATTCAATCAGTATCAATCAACAGTGGAGTCAAGTCATTTTGATGACATCCACCTCATCGCCTTCTCCAACACGACCTACATGAGCAGGACATGGCGACCGTGACAGGACAACCGGACAAACGGTGCCGGGATGAAAATCGACCTAGCTATTGAAATCCGAAGTATCGACGGAATCCTCCAAGGATCAGTTCAATGCCGCACCAGAGAACAAACCAAGCCAATTCAAACGGTTGGGCACTCATGATGAGAAACCAGCTTCAGGTGCAGGTTCCTCTCAGGTAACTGTTGTAAAACAGTGTTTCGTCCGACGCACTTACTCTTGAAAATACAGACGCCGAGAATCGACGAATATCTATAGTGAGCAGTCATAGACAGACAAGGAAGCAATGCTAAAACCAACCAACGAACTGGTTGCCCATTCGGATGAGACCAACACCAGCTGGCGTAGAATGTCTTCCTTACGGCAAGCTACGACAAGATCTGGAACATAAATGTTATGACTGAGAAAATACTGACGGGCTACACCCAAGCAACACGGCTTGTCATAAAGAAGTTGAAAATACTTTGTAATGACTAACGCAAAGAATCACTAATACTTTAATATACATCATTTAATACATTTATACAACCTAAAAAGCGCAAGACGCGGAGCTTATACAACCAAATACTGGTCTTATAACATGTATTTTGGAAACATCATAAAAACCAGCGACAAAAAAAAAACAATAAAAAAATCTTGAGCATGGGATTCGATCACTGGTCCTTGGCGTGGTAGACTTGTTTCTACCTAACTAGACCAACACCGCTTGATGAAAGGTTTGTTATAAGTATCTATCATGTTCTTGCCAATGGCATGAAAATTATTTTCTCGTTCAACACGCCTTCGATCCGTCATGAAGACGTTTTGTTAGTAGCAAAGCGTACATCTAATAGCCAGAATGTTATTAAAACGTATTTTCAACTTCTTATAAGACAACCTGCACATTTTCAGTTGTATTAATTTATGAGATGTCATAAAAAAGTATTTTCAACTTTCTTTATAACAAACCTCCGAATACCTCATAAGAAACTGTCAATCACGGCATGAAGAGACAGTCCGGCTCAATGGCACCGTCAATGTTTACGTCAATCTGGATTGATTTTGTATACGACAAGTTTTAAAGTGGTATTAAAACAGTAAGATGCACGTTCAAATAACATTTTAAGATAAAAGCAAAAGAAAACTATTTTGGAAAATGTTGAATCGAAGAAGTATGAAGAAAACATCTTTAAACCTCATATATAACGTAGGATGTTTTCTGCATCTCTTATAATACATTTATACAACAATCCGTTCTAATTCTTTTTCAAAAGATGTTTTATGTGTTACTTGGGCAAGGATCAGATCATCAGCATTGGAAGTAAACAGCTCTGATTTGAATAACACGATGCAGTACAAAATCGAAAAATTCCTCACGCACATAAGGGGTTATAAAAAATCTGTAGACTGGTTAGTTCAGAAATTATCAAAAAAAAACATGACATAGATATTACTTTTTAACAACTGTTTAATTTATTGAATTCAATTTCTTCCAAGGGAATACAAAATTATGTGAGACATCGACTATTTCCCACGACGCTATGAGTAGGATGACTAGTAATGACGACTTGTAATATTCAACTAAAACGTATCTTATCGATCTGTGAAGCATACGCAACAGTATTCAACATGCGTCGTGTGAATTAACTCCAACAGTACCAACCAGCCTCAGGTTTCTTTTTAGGATTCAACTGAACTCAGGAAAAATGCACCCTCTATAATAATATGACAACGTCATGCTTTGGATGATAAATTGGATTCGTATAATAATTATTATTCACGTGAATCATCAGCTCTCACGCGCCAGGAGGCCAACAATCCAATACCCATTACCATCAATAATTGGTGTAATATATATCAGGATTCCCTAACAATAGAGATGAACAGCCCTCGAGGCACTTTACCACTAATTGGTACCACTGATCGGCAATCGATAAGCTCTCACAAAACACAAAAGTTTTAATTGTTTACCACATGTCCGTTGTTGGGCTGGAATAAATGTAATTGAGTCGACTAGCTGGCACGTGTGTGAGTGTTTTGTTGTTTGGTGTAAAATCCCTGTGGTTGGTTGTAGAGAGATGCGCCAAAATCGGCGCCACGTGGGAGTTTAGTATATCTTGGGTAGGCATAAGGTTAGGGTGTACAGGTGAAACTTAAATTAAGGATCCCCTCTGGAGATCAATCTGTGCAGCATCAACAGAGCATAAAAAAATACAAAATGGAACTAGCAAGTGAACGAATATGCTAGTCGTATGGCGTTGAGGTAGTAGTGGAAGTGGAAGAGTTTAATTAAATTTTTCATAGTGCACTTGTTTTCACCAATCATCTTTTGGATGGTTGGTTACAGTTGTTGGAAGGGGTGGTAGCATCGGAAGCTTGCACACAATCGGATAAGGTATGGACAGATGGGTGACGGGTCTTACCTTCAACCATGACCGCACTATCCTCTGGCATATTACCTGGCGGTCTGGTGGTGGGGTTCGGCTGTTGTTGGGTGGCCGTGGTTATTTCGCTTTATGCCTGTCGGCAACGTATCGATGCTTTGGTATGGCAGACTTGTTGAAACCACTTAACTTGGAACTGGCTAACCCTCCCGGCTCTCGGTTACGGGTAACGATTTATCCGAATCAATATTCTATAAACATTCTCCAATCATCGACAAGGAGCTCACTACTTAGGGGTTAGGCACACACGTTATAGACAACAGACGGAGTTTTCCGAGCTGTATAGCTATAAATTCAAGACACGATTGCTGGAGGCGATTTCGATATCAGCCCTCGAGTATCGATCACATCGACGGTATGAACATATTTTTCTTGCAGACCTGGGCGTTCTGTTGAAGAAATATAAAAATAACCCGAAAGCACTTTAATCCTGTACGTCACTCGCGACTAAACTGATTGTTGCAACATTCACACAAAGGCGACAGCAATGTGTAGCTATCCACCGCTTTGTGCTCAAACAAGGAGGATGGTTAAACACTTTTCCATCCACCCAATATATGGGGCACAGTGCCTGTCAGTAAATCAAGTCGCCTTCATCCGACATACGCAAATCATTCGCTGTACTCCGTACTTGAAGCTTCTCCGATTTTTGAATGGCACTTCAGTCAAGCGAAATAATCATTACACTCATCTTCTTGCTCTTCCGAAAAAAAAAATCCAACAATACCCATCGACAGTTTTTAGGTTGAAAGAGGATCATTTAACACGGTCCTCGAGCAAAGATTCTGCAAAGCCTTTTCCTCGTTCGGGAATGTAATCCTCTTTTCTCACAGGCCACAGCAGCAAGTTTTCGAAACACAATCCATTCTCTTCCTTCCTGCAGGTATCAACAAAAAGCACGGTCGAAAAAAATCGCGAAGTACCGTTAGAAATCCCTACTGAGATCAACACACGCGAGGACCAGCTGGCTTCAGTTTCGAATGTAAACTAAACGCACCACCAAGGGCTGACTGAGCTTTTCCACATTCCGAACCTGGGGATCCCCGTATGCAATTGCTAGCATTACTGTTTTTTCCATTTTCTCAATTTCTCATTTACCCGTTTTTCCAAAGGACAAAGAAAGAGAGAAATCAAGAGAACAAATTAAACCATAAAGCTCCCGCTCTCGTGAGCTCCACAGAAAGCTTGTTTACAAACAGAAAAGCTCCTCACAAAAGGCAACCCATCGCAACTAGGACACTGCGAAACATGTGAAAAGCTAGCTTCTTCTTCTTTGGCTCTATTACGTTCCTACTGGACATTGCACCGACTCTCAACTTATGTTGTTTTCTGTTTTGCGGTGTAGCTACACCGCCGTACATCGAAATAATTAAGGGTGTATTTATTAGGTTTGTTCGACTGGTATGTGGGGAGATTTCTTATTCATGGCTTTCTCAAAAGGGCAATGCAAAACTGACCGTTTAGATAACCCTAGACTGAGAAAGCCATAAAAAAGAAAGAAAAAAAAATCAGGGTGTATATATCAGTTTACAAACAAATGATGCTGAGCTGTCAATGACTCCTGCTTGTTGGCGCTTACACGTTTGGTGAACAACATCCCAATCAGTGTCCTTTGAGCACTACCACAGTAGTTCATGTAGCCTGTGCCATTTTTGGATTAGTATTACAGTGACCCCACCACTTTTTCTTGGCTTTCAGTCCATCAATTATTTAAGCTGATTAATCTGTAAATAACTAGTATATTGTTGACACTAATCACATACAAAACATCAGCATAATCGGTTGAAGGGCAACCGAGAAACAGCGGTGCCTGCACGGTACCATCCACCACATATACTGATAGGTTATTGTATTGTGTTGTTGCCAATATTCATACACGCTGCTCAAGGATGTCGAGAAATTGTACAAACCGGTCAGGAGACCAGATGGGCATCGAACCCAGCCGCCTCCTTTACCGACTGAGCTAAGCGAGGCCCCAAGAAAAGCTACCTGTTCGACCCGGAAAACCGAGAGTGAAAGCGCAGTGCAGGAGTAAGCTTTTCTCTTAGCTCACTTCCCATCAGCCGATGAGCTCACTCGTGCGTCAGGCTGTTGATATTGAAGCTATTCATTGTTGCATCCGACCCGAGTAGCTTTTCCTCCCTCCCACACGTCGTAGGTACCTACCTACCTAAAGCATGCCGGTTCGCTTCACCAAGTGACAAAAACAAATCAGCTTGACGTCCTTCTCCTTCGTCTTCTTCTGCCGTCGCCGTGTTGCTGCCTTTTTGTGGGACATTGAGATACCCGCTTTTTCCCATGCCGTATTCGAAGGATGGTGGGCCTACATGCTTTTCGCTCTTTGTTGACGTTCTCTCGTGCAGGAGGCTGAACGACAAGTGGTTCGCAAAATTTAAATATGGCTTGCCATGACGATGAAGTGCGTTGATAGAGTTGATTTATTGATTAATGTGCTACTTTGCTGCAGTATGCCAAAATTTTCATAACGATGGATTTAATTTTTGTCAACATTTGCATTTTTTTTTTTTAATTTTGCCTATGGATTTGATAGAATTGTGTAGGTTTTTCTGGAAATTGTCAATTGAAAGAAATAAACAATTGTTGCTAGCCAAAAAACATAACTCTTAGGGTAAAATTGAAGTAGAAACAGTGTCTCCAAACGCAAACGCAATTGATTTTTTTTTTTAATTATGATTCCGATGGATTACCTGGCAAAGACATTCTTCTAGCAACCATCAAATTCCGTTCTGCGTGTTTTGGAGCAAATTGCTTGTTTCGAATGACCGTTTGGGGAGTGGTAGTAACCGCGGAGATTTTCGTAAGGTCTGAACATGGATTGTTCAGCTTCATAACCAGCATAGCGGTGTCAATTTGCTGTCGGGACAGCTGTAGGCAGTGGATTACATTTAGATCACGTTCATGGTTCTGGTCGGCGTTCAGGATGGAGTCGAAAATTTTCTCATTGGGACTAGACGTGATCAGTGCCTGCATGGCTTCGCTATTAGCGAACAAACTATCATCATTCGGCATGTTCGACTTGGATAGCGCAGACTCGGGAGTAGATTCGCCAACGATTATGGGTTTTCCAGCAGAATCGTTACCAGATAGCTCTCGTGTGGCATTATCTATTCCTACGCTTTCCAAAAAACTGTTCAATTTGGCATCATTTTGTTCGTCTGATGACTTTTTCGTACTGTCTTGAAGCTTCTCCAATGATCTAGGTTTGGCCCCATTCCCAACTAACTCAAATTTATTCCTGTTATCGTGAGTATGCAGAAGCCGGTTTGTGCAGTCCTTCCTTCAGCAGGTGGAGTTGCACAAGGATCAGAAGTTAGACTCTTTCCCGGACTTATGATACAGATCTTCGGGGTGGCAACCTTCAAAGGCGATTGTAGAACATCTTCTCCCCGCTCGATTGCCCTGATGTTGGATCGGTAGTAGTCCAGTAGATTGGACATCATTGCTTTGGATACCATGAACATTTTTCAGAAATTTCCGGCAGAAGGTTCGACGAGGTATCGTTTGTGCACTTTGAAAACACGGCTGGTCCGGTACCTTGCACCTTCCGAAAAGAGGTTTCCTTGTAATTCTGATTTGCAGCACGTCAATTTTCAAATGAAAATTGCTATTATTTTGAACAATTTTACCTGGTGCCTCACTTTCCGGCAGGTGCTTCCAAAAATTTAATATTTTGTAATGGTAAAATTGAACATATTTGTAGTTCTTTGGCGAACTTTTCAGCTCAATTTTTCATCAGATTACAAAGTTACATCATGTCAAAGTTGACCATTTTGTATGAAAATCGGGATGCGCTAATATATTACCGAACACAGCTGTACGGAGTACATCTAATGAAAAGGCTGCCTAATAAACAATCCCTAAAAACGGGAAGACTCCCATAGTTCAATTTGAAATTACCAGTAAAGCTGCTTGGTAAGGAGTAATAAACTTTTGAAAGTGAGCAATAGAGTAGTGGAAAGTAGCAATTGAAAAATATAAAGTTAAATTTTTGCCCTAATAAAAATGCTGTAATGATCAGCATTCAGTGTCAATTAATCATATTGTCAAGCAATTTTGGGACGACTACCAGCGATTTTAACAAAATGAAGCTATCAAATCCAGATTTTTCTAGCTAAGCATAAACAAGACCCTATTTTCTCGAGGATCTAGCTAGAATAAAAAATATCAATGTGTTGGTTCAAGTTGCAGGAAACGTCATTTTAAACTGCTCGAATGATGTGATACAGAAAATGGAAACTGAGGCAAAACAGGTGTTTAGAGATAACAGCGAGAAACTCAACTTCCCCAACAAACTATTTATCCAGATTAAAGACTTAGTAAGCCATTTTTATCAGAAGATGCATATGAATGCCTCAATAAACCACAATTTTGCATTTAATGTTTGTTGGGTAGTGCAATCGATTTCTTGGACATTTACACTCGAGATTACTAAGACTAGTGTACTTGCAGATGATTATCTTGTCGCTAAAACATATATGCACTTTTTTTTTATTCATCATCTTTGTTGCCCTTCTGTAGATTGCAGTGTTAATGGATAGTGAGGCCACAGACAAACAGACGTAACACTTCATTGTGTATCTTCGTTTACACATTTAACGGTTGATTTGAATATTATCAGTTCCGCGAACTCCTCGCCGCAGCGCTGGCATCGGATCACTTTGACGTCTCTATACATTCTATAGAACTTTTATGCAATATTGTTTGCGAGTTATCAAGCAAGCTTGTTTTCCGCGAGAAGCCTGAGAGATGTCGTTACTGAGGTCCTATGTTTTGAGATACTAAGTTTTCAAGAAAAACTTTTTCAAAGAGTTACGTCTGTTTGTCTGTGGTGAGGCAATTCAATAAAAAAATTGCATTCATAAATAAGGCAACACATTTTAAAGGGGGATTGAATAATTATGACAATGTGAGACTTACGGGGGAAGGTGACAAAGCCAGAAATGCAATTTAGACGACAAACCCAATATCTCTTAAACGAAACATTTCCGAGGGTTGGAACTTTCGAAATAGTTTTTCGTTATATCTAAAACTATCTATGTGTCCATCTAGTGACGACATTTTGTGCAAGCTCTACCACAAGTCGGACTATTTCAAGTTGGTCTTCGTCAAGCGAACCGTCTACAATTTAGGCTTCTACATCAACACATGTCAAGCTGCTTTTAGGATCAACTGACTAAACTTGGTAAGTTCGTTCCTTATTGTCCAATTTTATTTTTCAACCAGTAGCACTGGTAGATCACCTTTTCGTGGTGCGTTGCTGGTATAAGATCTACCACCGTCTAGTCCTGACAACTTCAAAAAAGATTTTTCAGTAATCAAAGGAACACATTTTAGTCCTTGTTATTTTATATGCCTTGTGACAAGACTCCAGCAGTGACATCGAAATGAAAATGATGGAGGTATATCCAACATTGTCCAAGATGTTTTCAAGAACTGGCTGTGTTGGTGTTAGATTACATTAGATAAGATAACTAAAACTATCTATTTGCGTAAAAAGATAGTTAGCAATTATTCCGCAAAGATGGCGCCACGATCAAACTTTATACTCTGATATTGTATAAACTTGATGTCTTCAGAAAAGATATATATCTTTAAAAAAAAGCAACTCTTTGGTAGGCAAAAAAGTTTTACAGCCTACCGCTACCGAGTTATTTGGAAAATAAAATCAAAATTGGTTAAAACGCGAATAAACTGTTCTTGACCACATTTTAATGTTTTCATTAACAACCATGTAAACTTTCATTTGGAGCTTTTGCTAAGGAATAACACGGGTAAACCGAAAACTTTGGAGAAAATTCTGAATAACTTCAAAAAATGGGCTTGATTAAAATTATTATGCTTACTTCATCTGCAAATATCTGCCGAAATTTTTGGCACCAATTTGAAGGTTGAAGTCCAGGCTACCACTATAGATTGGTTAAAAGTCGAGCACTTGGGAATAC